TGATTCAATAACCTAAGTTAATGTACAAATTTTTATGTTTAGTTACCCGGCGACGCTGTAAGGATCTGCTAATCCATTAGAGAAAATGATGTTGCTCCCAAATCTTCTGAGAATTAACTTGACATCCTGCAATATATTGTATTTAACTAACTAGTTTCTTTTTTATCAAACTATTTACATTGAAAATTAGTTAAGTAGTACTTGAATGCCGAAGTATGTTGTGATCCAATGCGGCCGAGGAGAAACACCATAGTTGGATTTACAGTCGTCAATAAAACTGGTCATATTAAACGGAGCCGTTTGGAACATTGTGTCTTGTTTGTCATATCCTATCGGCATCACTATCTCGGTGCAGCCCTATTTATATAATGTAATTTAACATTAACAAAACTTAAGTTATACATTTATGTGTATGTTTCATAACGCAAAGTTTACTTGCCTGCCATCCCCATGCGATGCTAATGTTTGAAGGCCGTACAAACAAATCGGTATCATAGCAAGACCGGTTGCCTAGATAGGCAACAACACCTGCCAAAATCCGGTCAAGTACATCATTTTTACGGTTTGGTGGGTTTTTGTTGATTGCGTTGCATATGGTAGTCACCCAATCACCCGGATTCCTGTTGAATTGAACTGCTTCCGCGTATATCGAGTCCAAAAAGTCTTTGATATCGAAGCTACGGCTCAATTGACTGAAAATTATGTTACAGAAAATTCAAGTACTATAAGTTATATTTATTTGATAGCATTGAGAAGGAAAATAAATAAATTTCATTCTTACGCGCACGTCTTGAATTTTTTGCTGAGGATCAAGAGACCGTTGGATTTAGCAGCAACTCTATCGATTTCGTCCCACGATGTACGGATTGTTTTATAACATCTCTCACTCGTTTCCTTGTGGAATATATATATATATATTTTGGGAAATTACGTAACTATACTAGTCAACACTAAACTCTTAACAGCAAAATTTTAATGGAAAGGGAATAATTGAAATAAATTATGATATACAAATAAGGGTTTTTAATAAAAAAATCCCCTCGACTATCATCGGATCATAAAAAATCTCTCCAACTATTTCTTTTAGTAAAAAGACCCCTCAACTATACTTCATTAATGAAATAAACTCTCCGTCTACAATAACGTTTAATCTTAATAAAATTGTTGTCTTTTATTACAAGAAAGACAAAGCGTCTCAAATATTGACCAAAACATCAAGTTGTTTACATGAAAATAACACAAAGTGAATCTTATGACAAAAAAACTTGATCGTAGGTTTACTGTAAATCGTG